AACCTCATTGAAGGATCATGATGAAGAATGAGATTTATTTTTCATCAAATGCTCAATTGTAAAGGTGATTTCATAGCTCTATTTATAGAGTAAATCTAACATATTTACTACAATAAGAAGGATCTAGAAGAGGTTAGAATTTGAAGGGCAGCTGTTGAACGTGAGCTGAGGGAATGTTGAACATGTGAGCTGGTGTGCTGAGAATTTCTGTTGATCCATGTGCTGAGCTGGAGATGCAATTCCAACAGACAACATGTGTGTAACACGACATAGGGTTATCTAGAGGAGACACATCAATGTTTAAATCAGTCGAGCAGTTTCACCTCATGCCACTCTAGACGTGTTGTCCATCTCTGAAGTTAAAGCCGCAACAATTTGGTAAACATAAACCGGTTACTAACTCAATGTGTTCAGAAAGGATTTAAGTAGAATAGACGAAGATTTTTATTATTTTTTTATTTTTAGTACTGTAAAGTACCAAAAAGAGGGGCTGTACACTTTGTGATACACCTTTGAATTTATGAAAGGTTAATAATAGATGGTGGATTATCTAAACAGTATTTTTTTTCTAGCTACCTTTCTACATTTCTAGCAAAACAACTTTATGGGGTTCGATTAATCAGAACATTTGGAAAGAAAGAAATCCCTAGAAACCTATGTGTAAAATCTTGAAAAACAAGCCCAGAAACATAGAATCTCTGCCCTTTAAGTAACCTTTGTTCCAAGCAATTCTAAAACTTCCTCTCTTTTCCAATTTACAACTCTAAATTCTCCTCATTCTTTCATCTGTGCAAATCCTCTTCTCTTTGCACGATAGACTGCGAAAATGGCTGTGACGCATGCTGATCTTGCTCCGAGTCGACGAAGGTCTGACCTAGGCAGCAAAACTGGTGCATTTTTAATGGTTTTCTCTATACTATTAGGCCTCGTTTCCTTCATTCTCTGTCTCATATCCGAGGCCAGCCGTTCCCAGGTATTAATCGAACAGTATAAATATTAGACCGTGTGAAGCCTAATCATGTTATACACTTATCTCCCACGACCTCATATTGATGGTGAACAACTATATTATATGTGTGCTTTTCTTGTTTTCTGATTTCATTCTGTTCTTAATTGTTTTCGAGAGAATGGATTAGGCCTTTAAACCATCTGATATTAATGCAGATGATATGGGAGGCATCGAGCGGTGAAGGGAAAGTTATAAAATCTGAGTGTACATATTCAAGTAGTGGCAAAATCCCTCTATTGTTTGCAACCGGTGCGTTTTTTGCTCTAGCAATGGCAATGGTGATACAGCATACGTATCTATTGGTCGCGTTGAGTAAATCGGATTCTCTGCTTGCAATTACTTGGGACCCTGATTCTGATGTTGCCAAGAGTCTCACATGGCAAGCCGGATTTTTCTTCGTTACAACTTGGTATGTTGAGCACTTATTTTACATTAGAATTTACTCAAATGAAATACTTACATTTCCATCTCCCTGCATGCCTATGTAACAGTTTCTTCTATAAAAATGATGATATTGCCCCCGTTTGAGCCCCATTAAATTAAATTCTATTATATTAATTTTTTTCTCTCTTCATTTCAACCACACATTCATCAAACAAAATAATATTACACACAAATCTAAAACTTTTCAACCGTACATTCTCCTATCAATCACTACTCTAAAAATTTTCAACCCCAAAAATGGGGGCCAAACAGTATCTAATGAGTCTTTCTGATTCACATGTACTACGTTGTCTTAATACGTTTATGGCATGTTTGGTATGATGGAATTGTCAATTCTAAACTGTACGAAAGAATAAGAACAAGTTAAAATTCCATCTCTTATAAAGTACAATATTGGTTACAAACTACCCAACATACTCGTATGGTTGAATGTTTTGACTATCCTTCTAACGTATCCCACAAATTTTAGAACTAAAACATCGGTTTCTTGACTTCGTTGCAGGGTATGTTTTGCTGTTGGAGAAATTTTGTTACTAATCGGTCTAAGTGTTGAGTCGGGACATCTGAAAAATTGGCAAATGCCACGAGAGAGCTGCCTAATCATTCGCGAAGGATTGTTCACGGCTGCTGGTGTGTTTGGTCTATTAACTGTCTTTCTTGCTTCTGGTTTATACATCACTGCCCTGCGAGCACAATTGCATACACAAGATCAAGTAAATACGCATCGGGAACTTTTGGAGGCCTCGGTCCTGTACGCATCTCCGCCGAGGTCGCCTAGAAGAACCATCCGAGCAGTTCCTAATGAGAATCCTACTGCAAGACAAGATCAGAATTTACATACATTGAACGACTACTTAACAGCCTTTGACAAACATTCAAATTTGGTTTAAAGAGGACATCGTATAGCTATAAAACAAAACAAAAATGTGTGATTTTTACATGTGTAAATGAGGAATCCTTGTACATAATCGTGTGTCATAAGTTTGATTGTCCAATTCAGCCAATCTTGTGTAGATTCTTTTTGTAAAGAAAAAGTACATTCCATCAGAATTTGCTTGTATAGACTTTATTAGGGTATATGGCAAATGGAGATATATTGTTTCTTCTTTTTTTTTCCAATAAAATAACAGTCATGAACAACTAGCGCCAATACATAGAGCTCATCACAAACCATCGTACATGAATTTAGGTATCAGAAAAGTTTGATTATTCACTACAACAAACATGGTTTTTTGCAACACATAGAAGGCAACATTCGTTTATTAAATGTTGCTAAAGGTGTCTACCGCAACATTCAAATAAGTGAATGTTGCAATTTGTTAAAATAATTGAGATTTGGCAACATTTTTTAAATGAATGTCACAAATGTCACATTTTGCAACGTTTATGGAGTGTTGTCAAATGGTTTATTTATTGCAACATTTATGGGATGTTGCTAAAAACTAACTCTATTGCAATGTTTATTCACTGTTGCTAAAACTTGGAGTTTTATCTTCCGCAACGTTCCTAAAACGTTGCCAAAGATTTAGGTTTTGGCAACGTTTATTAAACGTTACTAAAAGATAAACCTTTAGCAACATTTTCGGAATGTTGTTAATATGAATGTGTTAGACTACCTTTTCGCAACGTTTAATTAGTGTTGTAAATATATACATATTGCAACGTTTATTAAACGTTGCTAATAAGTTTAAGTAGGATATCCTTTTGCAACGTTTATTAAACGTTGCCAAAATATTCTGGCCCATTTAAATAAGTCCATCACTTTTCAAACCATTAGCCCACAAATACCCAATTTCTTTCCCGTCAAACCCGACCCACTTAGTAAAAAACCAAAAAACAAAGGACCGAATTAGCCCTAAACCCCCAAATCTCTCGACTCTCTCTCGGTCGCCCTCGCCTCCCTTCAAATCGCCCACACCTCAAATCGATTTTCATTCCCTCAAATCCCATTTGAAGTTAATCACAGTAAGATTTGCATGATTTTCTTGGTAGGCATCCGGTTGATTTGAATTTTCTCAACCTGAGTAAGTGCCAAGTAATTATCAGCTTGCATTTTCTTTGGATTTTGATTTGTGACATGATTATCAACCCCGGTAGGCATCCGGTTGATTTTGATTTGTGTCGTGATTGTTTCCCATGTCCTCTTTCGAATCTTAGCATTATCAGCTTGCATTTTCTCTTATTAACGTTGCTGATTTCTGCAGGAGCCTCAAGGGTTTAGTATCTGTCGACTTTATAATCAGTTTCAGTTACATGGATTTTTCCCTTTTTGGTTAAAATTTAAACATGAATGATGAATCGTANTTGTCATTTGTGGGTGCTTTTTTTTATTCTTCTTCTGGACGTGGAGGTTGGAGTGGAACTGTGGAAGCTCTATTTGAATTTCGTGGACGGACACGGACTCACGGTGGATATCTGGGTTTCTGCCTACTGGAATTACCGAATTAGGTAAATTCAGCTTTGATTTTTTTTTTTTTTTGTGGGATTTGAGTTTATTTTGATACTATGTTGAAGTGAAACTAGTAGGTTCTCTGTTCTCAATTGCCTTGGCATTAGTTTGTTAGTTGTGTCTGACTTGGATGAAATTATGAGTGTATGTCGACCTTTTCTTCAGTTAATGTCCTTTCGTCATCGATAGAGATTTCAATTTGTATTTGTATGTCTTGGCTCGTAAATCTTTGTCTAAGCTTGAGAAAGAAATAAAAAAAGGTAATTTTACTTTTTATGTGAAGTGTCGTCTCCTTACTTGTTTGGATAACTTAAATTTTTGGTTACAAGTAAAAGTTTTTTTTCTTGAATTTAACTCTTACCTTACCATCAAAATTAACTTGCTTCTTTCCAAGATTTAAGAGGATGTTCGGAATTGAAGTTTTGAGGAACCTCTCAATAATTATTGCTATTATTGGTAGGAATATTTGATTTTGATGAAACTTAATACTAGATTGTGTGTTCTTCGTGCAAGCAATCTTTGCTAGTGAAGAAGGAAAGCCAGTTGATGAATACGACTAGAGTCCCTTCAGTGTTGAATAGTATCTTTACATATAATGGACAAAGAGTTGCTACACTTATCAAGGTTATCATCAAAAATTACATATTACGGATCTAGATATCAATTTAAAAAAATTTAACATATAATGATCATAAAGTTTAAATTGTAGATTTTCAGAACAATATAGAGATGGAGCCCAGAATTTTGTTGAACGAGCTCGTAAAAATTACAATTCAAAAATGATAGTATGCCCTTGTGTTAAGTGTAGGAATATAATGCATCAACATTATGATACAGTTTATGAACATTTGGTTATTAAGGGTATGGATCCTATCAATTCAAAAAAGATAGCTCTTGATTTGGCTTCATTTGGTTGGCTTCATGTTACAGAGGGGCATTTTGCATTTCAAGCAGTGATTACATGGCTTGTTTTTTTTGTCGGTGATCATTTTCTTGCTTGTTAATTTTTTTGATATCTACTGCAAAGATGGAGGTTAATTTTGTTAGCTATAGTATATTTTTGTACGTTTTGTAGTATGTTAAATGACGATTAAAATGATGCAGGTAGCAAGTCCATATAGGAAAGGGTGGATCTACT